TTCTCAGCTGTCATTACAGTGGATAAATAAACGACTATTCCTTGCTTTGCCGAGAGTCTAAATACCCAGATGAAGGCCGATTTTGGTATAGAACGAGTAAGTCGATAACCTGTTCTACAGTCTCTGGATGTCTGATGGTGATGCTGCGATCCATTAATGAATAATTGATAAGTTTCGAGTTTCAAAGTGACCTTATAATTGAAGAATAATTTATTGGAATTGTTGCTTTTAAGCTTATTAAATAAAGAACTTGATTGTTGTTCCGCCCTTTGAATTGCCTATAAAAACGCAACATGTTCATGCAGATGACTGAATTGCCACTTCTGCTTGTTTCAATTGCATCTTGTATAAAATAATGCTCAAAATTTAATCATGCGATAAAATGAAGTATGGATGAACAAACTAATATCTTCAGAGATATTCTATTGTAATGGCGGCCACGAATAACATTTGAAGATGCATAAGATGGTCAGTGATTAAAAATCGAACTTCTTATCGAAAACCTGGTTCAGAAAATGGAACTTTCTTCATAACTGGTCTGTTCTAAAATTTGTCATAAACTTCACATCATTTGGCAACCAATTTTCTGATTTACGCAGTAAGCAGCAAGCTTGTAAAAACAGTAACACGGTATATGGTTCATTGAATATTGATCGTCATTTTTCTCTCAGACTCTTCAGTTGAAGCAAATGGATTTTAACTCCAGCATCGTAACACTATAAGCAGAAAGTGAGTTGATAAATATGTAAATTTCTATGCAGACATCATTTATAAATTTGTTGAAAGCGAATGGACTGTTTGGTTTCAGTATTTAAAGTCGGAAGAGAAATTTTTCGTCTTATTAAAATCAATGCACTAATAAACTTGCAGTTGCTGATAGTATTAAAGGAGCAAGTTTTAGACCAGTCGTTTGACCTTTAAGTCTACTCTTGCCTGAAATCAAATGAAAACAAAACAATAAACGGATGGAAATAGTCACGGAAGCCTGAAATTTAATTCTATGAATTCGAAGCAGGCTATCGAGTTCACGATGAATGGTTTTGCAAGGCGCGCTGAAACGAAATTCCATTTTTTTCTAAACAATAACAAACGACCTCACTTTCACAGTTTGTTTTTCTTGACTCAGCTAAACGGCAATGAGTTATTAGAATCACCTTAAGCTTTAAAATGAATTTCAACTGTCTGATCCTTCAGTGTAATTAATTGAGGGATCGCAGTTGCCGTGTCTCGATAACTGCTCTCGCAAACCTCGTTCTTCTGTCGCCACAATCTTCCATATCTGTTTTTCAGTTCTCCTTCCCTCCTGAGTCGAGGTGTTTCAGTCAGTTAAATACTTGCAGTCCCTTGGGCTCCAATTCGTCAATGCTGAAGTCCATCGACCATCCTTCAGTCGTATTCCTCCGTTTGCTGATGCGAGCAGCACGCAGATGCTGAGGACCATTTTTACTTGTACCTTTAATTTTTTTCGATCTCGGCAAATGGTTTCGGCTATTGTCTATGTTTGTCAGGCGTCATGAACAGAACACAACGAAATAAAGTTTATTTAATATGCTAATAAATAATGGCTTGTCGTTTTTGTAAGGTTTTACGCCCTTTTTAGGTTATACTGTACCGATTTGGTTCACATTTTCATTGCAGATTATTTCCCTTTTGCTACGAGATAAAATGATAAGAAGTGATTTAGAAAGTTCATTTTGATTCTACCTCACGGACTCACAAATTTTCTATTTTGCAGAAAAAGGTTGGTTGAGTGACTGAAACGATGACAACTGTGTAAGAAAGATTTTGCAACATGAGTCCCTCTTCTGCGCTCACAATCATTGAATTGGGAACTTAAAAAAAATAAAAAATTGTTCAATTGATTACTGCGCTTTATGCGGCTATCAGCATAAGACACGCTCTGCAACCCTTTTAATTTTTTCTGTCATACAAAGCTGTTACCTTTGGCAACCTGTGGTATGAACGAAAAAACGAGCGTTTCTGATTTCTATCCACAGAAAAGCCAAAAAATATTGGTTCATGTGCCACAGCATGGGAATAAATCCTTAATGCCTCAAATTTATGGCGAGGGGAGGGTTGCGTTTGAAGAATATCATCCAACTTTGCATGTAATAAGCATGGGTTGGAATATATATATATGAGGTGCTTTGATTTTGTTAATTATTAATTTCTCTGAACAAAAGTTCACTCCATTCTACTTCTATGGGACGATCAGAGAAACGGGCTTCGAGTCCTTGTGTTCAAACACAGCATTGTGCTCCGGTGCACCGTCAAAGGTAGTGATGAGGTTGATAGGCTAAAAGGACTGTTACTTTGACGCTTCGACTTCAGTGCGACATAATTCACATGGTTGCTGACTAAAGCAGCTCGGGGTGAAATCTGCAAATAGATAAAATCATCAAATTGCATATTGCATTGAAAAACAGTATAAAATACGGTTTATTAACACACAATGCAAAACGTAACACGGTCAGTCCAATTATTAATTGATTGTTGATTATCAATGACGACGTCTCGGCTTGTCTCACGAGGCTAATACAGTTTAGGAAGTTTTTTTGTTGTGCGCAGCGAATGATGGGTTTTGAGCCAGAAGGTGAGGTTTTGGTCTGTGCTACGAGTTAAATAATGTCTAGCCGACAAGGGGGTCAACGCTCATCCACCAAGAGCATAATTCTTACCCTGTGTCAAAATTAGTACTGTCGCGAGACTGAATGATTCATGCCTCTCCTTGATGCACCAGGTCCTTTAACATTGCTCCTTGACTTTGCATGCGAGAGAGCTTTGTTTTCTTCACTGATGCTTCTTTACTACGTATAGCTTGCTCTCGTTCATGATCAACCGTTTTCTCCAGCTTGACAGGTAGGCCATTGTTCTCTCAGTGACAGTGTCACCTCTTTCTCCTATGTAATATTCCCTTTGGTTACTACGTAATGTGTAAACCGAGCCCAGAGAGTTGCTATCCTTAAATTTTAATAGAGCGTTAGGTTTTCTAGTTTATA